TCGCAGGCGCAGGGGGTTGCGCGTGCATTTATGGTGTGCGGTCGATGTGAGAAAATCTTGCCATTAGGTGGTTAAAGTTCACCAGCTTTCTCTGGCTGCACCTAGCGTAACACCAACCCGTGGTTAAGCCTAACCGCACACCTTTAACTGATGCTATTGATGACACAGTATTGCGATTAAAAAATCTGGAGGTGATGCCGGGGGGGGCAGCATCCCTCTCCAATGATTACTATTTTAATAGAAGAATTGCTTTTAAATAAGTCACTAGGCAGGGATCCGTTGTTTTTAAGAGCTTCGACGCTACTGTAGTTCAAAAGCACCATAAAGTGGAGGAGTATTCCGTGCGTCTCCTGAACAAAGTCAAAATACTCTCTTAAACACTTCAGAGAGAAAATATGTTTTATTAGTACAAGATTGGTAAGTCAGCAGAACTATGACCGGCAGGACTGCCAACAGAGGAAACCATGCAGCATTAGGGTACTTAAAACATCTTTAATTAATATTAATAAAGCTGATGTTTGGCCGCCTGAAGGCTCCCTGAGCAATGTTTACACCACTGCCATCAGATTTCCAACAAAAGGAAAGCAGGCAAGTACAGCAAGAGTATCTTGCGTTCAGAGCACTAGGTAAGGGCTGGGCAGCTTTGATTTCCAAATAAGCTTGGATGAATCACTTGATTTCGCTATAGTTCAGCTCTTCCTCAATCAAAAGAGAGATTCCTCCCTTTCTCTCAGCCCCATATGGCCTGCGCTTATCAGTTGCAAGCTTTCAGGGCAAAGAGCCTCCTTTTGCAGGGAGGCACAGTAATAAAACAGGCCAGAATCTCAGTCAAGGCCTTTTAACACTGGCGCAAATGATAATAGCTGGAAAGGAGTATAAACAAAGGAGGAAAAAAAAGCAAATGCTGAAAAGCCAACTGGTTGGTTGGTTGATTGATTGTGAAAATAAGATGGGTTAGAAGGGGATGTTAGAGATTAAAGTAATTCAGTTCTAGACTGAACTTGTTTTCTCTGCACTTAACATGACTGACCTCTTTTTGAACCCTTCTGGGAAGAGTGACTCAACTCTCAGTTGAGCAGCACTGTTCTACTGAAACCTTCTGCTCCACAAGCTTCACTTTGGGATTTCCCCAGTGCCTGGCCTGTGCTGAGGCACAGATCCTTTAATAATGATATCTGAAGCCAGTGGAGGAATTTCGGTCACGCACTGTTAGCGTGACTTGCGGAGCATTTCTGGTGGCAGGTAGCCAAGCAGGTAGCTGCGAAGGCCACTGGCAATTTCTTACTATGAAACTTAAATAGCAAAACGGCATGTCCAGAAGGCATGTTAATTTTGGTGGCATCTCTAATTCATGCATTAATGAGATTTTGATTCACAGAGGAAAGAGGTACATTAAAGAGCAACTCAAAACATGAATTCTGAAGCGGGGTTTCCCTCTACCCTTGCACTGGAAGACACATATTTACTGTAATTGTTAGAGAAATCCCATAACCGATCATGTGTGTTTTCCCTTTGCCAAACCAGACAGGAAGCTTTTGCAGGCTTTTGGTTTTGCTCCAGCTGATCTCTCTCTTACCTTGAGCTTCCTATTAAGTCGAAGCCCAAGAAATTACTCTCTTACAGTCTAGCAGGCTGTTACGAGGGAAGTCAAAATGACTGGTCGTGCCTTCATGAAAAAAGATTAATGAAATATGTGGTTTTCACCATCAGTGGATGAGGGATGACTTCTTAAGGACAGCTGAAGAGAGAGAGGAGAGAACTGAGAATAAATAGTGATTTAATGGAGACGGAGAGAAGAGAGAACTGGAGTCAATGTAATATCTGATCCTATCAATCAGCTCCAAAAGAAAAAAATATTAATTAACCCAGTAAATCTGTAGAACCTACAGGAGTTCAGAGATAATTATGTATATTGCTTTCTTTCCTTTCAGCTTAGGGAGCAAAAAGCAAAGTTAATGTCAAATCAGAAAGTAAGGGATAAATTATTTTTTCTTGCTGGTCCCTTTCCTTCGCTAAAAGCCATCAACGTGAGAAAGTGAAAAGTAGCAAGTGAAGGTAGAAAGAAATACATTTCAGAGGAGAAATAGCTCCATCTATCACTGCAAGGTACAGGTTGTTAAAATCACTGAGAAGTCTTACATGTAGAAAAAAAGAAAATTCATTATGGCACATAACTGCAATAGATTGACATAGTAAGTAGTTTTGGGTGTATTTCACCAATGCAAACTATTTACTACTCTAAAATCCCAGCCTTGCCAGTTATTATATGCGGATGCTTGAGCTCACCCTTGTAAAACTGAAACCAACTCACCCATAAGAAGATAGCTAATCAATATCAAGGCAATCATTTTCCTGCAGCCAAATTTCTGGCACAGAATCTTGAAAAAAATTTGAATCCACAAAAGATAAGGAATTTCTCCAAAAATAACACATAGATAGAGGTGAAATGCACCCATTGTAAGACTCAGGGACACCTCATACATCAGGTTGTGATCAGTAGGTGAACAATTTTGGGACCACAGTGGTCTAAGAGGGAAATCAACCACCTTCCTTTGTGTTCCTCCATCATCCCTCTTCTGGGCACCTCATGTAAAGAACCATGGCTAAGTCAGTTAAGAAACCAAAACCAGGAAGAAGATAAAAAAGAAGAATCCCCCCTCCTCCCCATTTGTAAATAATCAAAAATTTTTAACAGGCACTGGAATTCATCCATGGTATTTACTCTGCTGATGTTTCGCGTAGTATGCAAGATAAGTCATTAATGTGCAAGAAACAACACAAATGTGCCGAGAACAAGAAACAAAAGTAAACACACACAAGGAAGTCCACCCCTATTCAAACTACACTTCAGCAAGCCTTAAACAAATTAAAGACTTACTTTGACAAAAGCTAGCTCTTCAAAA